ATAAAACCATATAAATAACTTAATATCATCATAATATATCGCTTTTTAAATACCAAACATAAAAACAGTGGCTGTAAGTAATCATTACTCCCCAGTTTATAAGATCGCGGGGAAAAGCCGATTATTTGTTGACGTTCGTGGCATGTGACGTCATAGGGGCGGGAGGAAAGCGCTCGCGAACGGCCACCACGATCCGCCGCTAATGCAAGAAGCTCCTCACCTCTCTTGTTTATCTCCAGACAAAAACGACAGTGTTTATGCGTAAAATCCTGTAATTGAAAACTGAGAAGAACGTGTCTGTGAAGTAGTGGTGGGGATTATGGGGGAAGGGGGGAGGGGAAGGGGGGAGGAGGGGGGTATCCAGGCTTCCGACACTCACCGCATATTTGCCAACCAATATGGCTCACTCTTGAGATGGTGTTTGATGGCTCTTGTGTTTTTGACCGACCCCGGCTAGGGCTTCGTTGTTGTCACCCTCCTCCTCCTCCTCCTCTTCCATCACCCTCACTCTCCTCCTCCTCCTCCTCTTCCATCACCCTGACTCTCCTCCTCCTTCCCCTGCCTTCTCCTCCTCCTCCTCTTCCATCCACCCTCACTCTCCTCTTCCTTCACCTTCACTCTCTCCTCCTTCCCCTTACCCTTCTCCTCCTCCTCCTCTTCATCACCCTCACTCTCTCTATCTTCTTCCTTACCCTTCTCTTCTCCACTCCTTCTCCATCCCCCAATCATCCCAATCATGGTCACGTCTGGGGCCCATTAGCACTGGAGCCCGTGGCACTGGGCCTGGTAGCACTGGGGGGCCCCAATTGGTGACCACCGACAGAATACCCTTCCTCCCCACACACACCTTGTACCACTTCCTCCCACCCCACACACCCCTCCTACGGCCCTTTCCACACCACACACACCCCGCTCCGCCCACATCCCTTCCCTACCCCCACACCACCCAGCCCCACCCCACCTACCCCTTCTCACACCCACACACACCCCTCACGGCCCCTCACCCCACCACACCCCACCTGCCCCTTCTCACACCCACACCCCTCCCACACAGCCTCACCCTACCACCCCCACCTTCCCCTTCTCACACCCACACACAACCCCACACACCCCTCCCACGGCCCCTCACACCCCTACCACCCCACCTTCCCCTTCTCACACCCACACACACACACACACACACACACACACACTTCCCGTATTTTTTGGGGGGTTAACCTTCCCAGTCAGCAGAGATCAACAATTATAGTCCTCTAAGCTGGATGACTTATAGAGCTCACACATTGACTTTAGAGCCTAGGCGAGTGTGACCCAGAGCAGAGTGTATGTTGAACCCACACTAAGAGGCCCTCACAATTGACTTACTATACAAATACTTATCATGCACTTCCGGGTGACAATTGACTTACTGTACATATACATAAATTTTTATACATATACAAAGGTTCGTTATACATACAGAGGTGTTTTTATACATACAGAGGTGTCCTATACATATATTGATAACATCATGTATATTTAAATCAAACATATATGAAATGCATATTCATAGAGTTGGCCAATATAAATATACTTACATAATATACATATACATAGACCTGGCCAATAGAAACATGCTTACATAAAATGCATACTGTATACATAAAGCTAGCTAATAGAAATATACTTACATAATACATATTCATAGAGCTGGCCAATAGAAATACACTTATACATAATATACATATTCATAGAGCTGGCCAATAGACATACACTTATACATAATATACATATTCATAGAGCTGGCCAATAGAAATACACTTATACATAATATACATATTCATAGAACTGGCGAATAAAAATAGAAATGCATACATAAAATACATATACATAGAACTGGCCAATAGAAATATACTTACATAATTTACATACACATAGAACTGGCCAATAGAATATACATATACATATATCTCTCCTATACATATTTGAATGGAAACAGTTAACATATATGACAATAATAACAACACAATTTCGACAAAAAATATCAATTGTAAACAGAGTGATGTAAAAAATATTGTAAATAACTCAGGTAAATGGAATAAAAACCACTTACTATGAGACGATACTGTAAGGTCAACTCTGGTCACATGAGGTCAGGTCAGGTGGTATGGTGTGACCTCAGCTGTTTGGGGGTCAATCTGTGAGAGAGAGAGAGAGAGAGAGAGAGAGAGAGAGAGAGAGAGAGAGAGAGAGAGTATTAATTAAATTATGAGAGATACAACTTCTTGACAAATAATAATAATAATAATAATAATAATAGCAATAATAATGTTATACGGTGTTCTTCGTTGTATTCTAATGGTGTTCTGAGGTGTTCTAGATGTGTCCTACGGTGTACATACATACATACATACATATCTGAACAGTCCATATACACGCGGACTTCCATATACATACATACATATTGTACATCCATCCACGCACACTAAAAAAAAAAGCAATTAAAAACTCATCATTCATACACCCCAAAATACTATTGACGTGTACAAAATAATTCAATATTTACGAATAAACAAATGAAGCAAAAATTACACATGCACAAAAAAACAGGAAATTATCATACATCCACAATAAAACAACAACAATAATAAAAAAAATAGGTTACAACATTTAAAAACTCACAGGTTTGTTGTCCTTCTCACCCCCCCTCTTCTCTAATTCCCCCACCCATTCCTAAGCTGCATACGTATCCCCTCTCATACTTCCTCCCAATCCCCCTTAAAACACACCCCCTTCCACCCAGAGACATGTCTCTTCTCCTCCTCACCCCCCTCTACTGGAACTGTTCAAATGGTTCAATATTTATAACACATCAAACGAAACAATTAAAAAACAGTCGGTGGGAGGGGAGGGGAGGGGGAGGGGGATATTGGGTGAGTGATGTACAGGTTGTTTTAATGCCTGCTCACGCGTCTCTCCCAGCCTGTAATACCCCCACTTCAAAATTGATTATGGGATTCTGGTGTGCATTAAAAACAATCTTTTCAGACGACGCGTTTGTTTATTTTTGAGGGGAGTAAAGGGGAGGAGGAGGGGAATGTGGAGGGGTTGGTGACATGGTGGGGGTTGAGGGGGGAACAGGAGAGGGTTGGTGACATGGTGGGGGATTTGAGTGTGTGAAAATGGTGTAGAGGGCAGACATGGTGGGGGTTTGAGGTGAGGGGTGGGAATGGTGGTGGAGGGTTGGTGACATGGTGGGGGGGTTGAGGGGGTAGGGGGAATGGTGGTGGAGGGTTGGTGACATGGTGGGGAGGTGTAAGGGGGAAGGAAAGTGGAGTAGGTAGTATGGTGGTGTTGTGAAAGAGAGAGAGAGTTGAATGGTCACTTTAAACACCACACCCTTCACACACACGGGAATAACATCCACCAGTCAGATCACGAGAACCAGGGACTTAACTCTCTCTCATCCAATCAAAATCCACATCTCTAGAGTCTGAGGGTTGGAAACCACGGCCCTCCACTACCAGTATTTACCAGTGCGTTTACAAATCCCCTTAGATGCTGTATCTCTCCGGGGACCACAACTTTTAATTTCATTCATCCTCCGTTAGCCTCTGCCTTCACCTGTCCCCTCCTACCTTCACATCTTTCAATTTCATTCATCTGCCTTCACCTGTCCCTCTTACCTTGACAGCTTTCAATTCCATTCATCACTCTTCATCTCTGCCTTCACCTGTCCCTCTTACCTTGACAGCTTTCAATTCCATTCATCACTCTTCATCCCCTGCCTTCACCTGTCCCTCTTACCTTGACAGCTTTCAATTCCATTCATCACTCTTCATTCCCTGCCTTCACCTGGACCTCATACCCTCAATTCTACCCACTAATACCTCAACCATTAACCTCTTCATACATAATGTGAGTTTTCTTTATTTACTTCCATTATTTCTCTCGATAGTTAAGTCCTTCAATTTCTTCGTGTTTTTTTTATCAGTATAACTTTTAATCTGAAGGTTAGCCACCCACAGTTTATTTCACCTTAAGATTAAACACCCTAACGCTAACCTAACCTCAATTAACAAAAACTAACCTAAACTACAAGTAAACTAACCTAATTTAACCTAACGTAAACTAACACAAACTAACATAACCAAATATTACTCACACTAATCTAACGTAACTTAACATTATTGACACTAATATAACCTAATCTTATCCCATCGAATTTTCAGGTTTTGGGATGGTTAGATTGGAACCCTATATACCTTCTTTCCCTAATCTAACCTACCTTTTTCGTCCCATTCTTAGGTTATATTAGCTCCTGGTTCTATATATTTTAATTTATTATTATTTATATACCAGTTTATATTTGTAATGTATTTTAAATAGTTATATAACGCCGAGGAGGATGAGGGCATCACTCTAACTTACCCGAGCCCACGTCTGCTAATTTTGTTTTAAATATTGAACCACATCGAAAAAAAGAAGCCATAGATCAAAGGTTTTAAATATTTTTGAATGGTCAGCCCCAATTGTTTAATTAGTTAAGACTCGGGAGTAAAATCAGGAATTCACATTGATACAAGTCAAGCTACGGAGCATTGAAAACACATTACTTCCTTTTATCTTCTAATATAACACTTATATTATACTCTAATATAAATATATAGATGAAACATATATTCATAATGTATTTATTTACGTAAAAGAGCTCCAAACTTACCTATATGATGACAAAATATGATGAAAACTGCAGCACATTAGCCATTAACTGTTCATGTTAATTCTCCCGCCAGATGGTCAGACATTATAGGTATCCTTATGATAAAGATTTTAATTATTTTAGAATTCCCAAATTAGTTATTTTAGTGCTATATTAAGCATCCAGATTTATCAAATAACGGTATTTTCTATCCAGGAACATTAAAAAACGTGTGTATCAGATCGTAGATAAATAATTGAGATTACCAATAAATTCTCAAGTTAAGGTTTATAAAGGGATCATTAAAACTCACTTGTATTAAAAATTCAATTGATCAGTTGCAATATATCCACAAACATGTATAATAATGTACAGTCATCATTCAGTAAATATTAGTATTAACATGTATAATAATGTATATATTGTCATCACCTGGTAAATATACATAATAGAATGATAAGGCACTGCATATTGGCAAAGAAGTTCAGAATTTTTTGCAGTTTCAGATTATAAGACAAATTGCATCAATGCCAAGACAAATATGGTGATTAATGGCTTGTAGCAACAGTTGATACACCCACACTTTGACACCTCTCAAAAAAAACTACAATACTCTTATTTCAAAAAGCTTCTCTGGTAAATATATAAAAGGTATTTGCTATGGGTCAAATATTCCCCTAAAAAAAATGAAACATACTTTTTCATAACTATTTCGTGTCCTCAGAGTTATTATAGTCTGTCCAGAGATATATTAGAAAATGGGAAATATATGCCATAAAACTGATCACCTGAAGATTCACCCCCAGCTTATTTCAGCTGAAGATTAACCACCCTAATGTTACTTGAAGGGATGTTAGGGTAGGGCAGGATTGGGAAGGGGTAGGGTAGAATTAGGTGATCCAGGTAAAATTATCTGGGGTGACTATTATTCATATGATCCTATAAAAAATTCATAAAATATCAAGAAATCCAAATTAAATAACATGGGAAATAACAGACCCCAAAAACACAGGCATTCGTCTACCCAAGAGTACAGGGGGTAGAAGGGTGGATCCTCTCTGACTCATGGTGGTATAAATAAATTACCAGCTGCTTTACCACATCAAGATCTTTCTATTTTACACAATATTCCATCCACCATCTTTGTTTCTAGTCTTTCTTGATATTTTCTTTAATTTACTGTGGTTTTTCCCTCACAATGCCACATACATATATCATTAGAGTATTTAGTTTATTCTGGTATTAATTAGTTTCTGTTTACACTAAGTACGTCTTCAGTCAGTCAGTGTATACCAGGTCCTAGGAACACTCATATTTATTTTTCATTAGTGGTATTGTATTTCTTTTCACTATGTAGAACCTCATTCACTTTATGTATAACTTAATTCAGGATACACTCGCTTATAGTCACTTTATTTATCTTCACACTTGGTTCAGAATGACTTAATTCATTGTATAATTGGTAAACTTTCAAATGACACGAGTAACCTGCCTTTTATTTATAACTGATACCCCTACAATATTTAAATTAATTGTTCATTACTTCACTTCACAGGTATGATCCCTATATAGCATTCAGTTCACATTAATTATGTCTTCAAACTCCTTTAAAAATAGTTCTATATATTCGTCTCACAGTAAATAATCCCTTCAGTCAATTTACCCTTCCACTTTTCATCGCCAGTTTGTTCAACGTAATGTAATGTCATATTGTCACCTTGAAATGAACACTAACCCCACCTGACTGATTGGCTCAACCAGAGATCTCCTCATTGGATGGGATACACACAGGTGAGTTTCTGCCAGGTGCGTGACTATAATTACCCAATTTAGTAATATCATCAAACTATCATCATAAAGTACAATAAATTCCACAATAATACTGAGTTTTATCTACAATATTATAGTTATAGATAAAAAATAAGGATAAAATATGGAGAGAGAAAGTAATGCCTGACCGGTACAATGTCTCTAAGATTAAACTCATTAAAACATATGCCCCCCAGTCAGTCAAGTCTGCCATCAGTGTCACATATGCCCACTCAGTCAAGTCTGCCATCAGTGTCACACATGCCCAGTCAGTCAAGTCTGCCATCAGTGTCACATATGCCCCCCAGTCAGTCAAGTCTGCCATCAGTGTCACATATGCCCCCCAGTCAGTCAAGTCTGCCATCAGTGTCACATATGCCCACTCAGTCAAGTCTGCCATCAGTGTCACACATGCCCAGTCAGTCAAGTCTGCCATCTTGCTGAACTTCACGAGAATTTTAAGTCATCTTGGAACGTCTTTTTAATCTTTATTGTTGTCTTAGTCCTCTTCATCGGATCCTCTTGTTCCTCTTCTTCTTTCTTCTCGCTATCTTCCTCCTCTTTGTCAGTCCTTTTGTTCCTCTTCTTTGTCAGATTAGTGTGTCATCTATCTTTCTCCTCTTCCTCTTATGTTATTTCTCATTATTACTTTTTATAATTACTTCTCTTTTCCTCCTCCTCTTCCTCATAAGTCCTACAGTTCCTCATATCTTCAAGTTATTTCTCATCCCCAGATTCACCTCCAAGATCCTCCTCCTCGGACTGGCAAGGAGCTTCATCTTCCTGGAAATAAGTCTTCAGTATCTGGGTGGCCTTGTCGCTTATGCCTGTGTTGACGAACTGTTGCAGCACCTCCAGACGCTCCACGCCCTTCCCCGACACCACCTGCTCCTTCACCTTCTCCTTCAAGTCCAGGCACTGAAATAGGTGGAAATAATACGAGGTTTATAATTAAGGATCACTGTAGAGTAGTCCTTCCACCCCTAAAGCATATGTCACCCGATGGTTAAATACCCTTTGCTATTTGGGAAGTTAGGTTACGTTAGGTTTAATCTCACCGAAATATCCAATAAATAAAGGCGCGTCGGAAGTTAATGAACGGAATTATTTTGTCAAGAAGGGCGTTCAGATCAGTGCGACCAAGGTGATTGAAAAGTCCCTGTGCACTTGTGATAATTACAAATACCTGTACAATGTAGTTATTCCTTGCTATAACTATATTGTTATCACTAGAATAAAACAAAGTGGTTAATTACAGCAAATGCATAGGGACTTTTTGCCTCCCATGTGCATATTATTATTAAAACACAAACATAATATGACCTTAACCTCAGAGTACTGTTCCTGTTGTAGGTTATCAAGACAGACAAAAAAAGTGTTTATGACCTCGAAGTGTTAATGCTGTATACTGTACCTTGAGCATGTTGTTGAGGGAGTCGAGAGCCACGGTGATGAGGCTGGCCTCCCCCCCAGCTAGCACCTTCAGGAAGGCTGACACTCCCCCGGCATCCACCAAGAACTCCAGCTGCTCCGGGTTGCCGCCTGCCGTCAGATTACCCAGGGCCCAGGTTGCCTCTCGCTGGACGTCCAAGAATGTCTAGTGAGAGAGGAAAGGTCAAGATAACATTTAAGGACTGTGTAAGAACTTATGAGTCTTAAGAGTCAAAATGTTCCAAAGTAAAAAAAATAATGATCATATAGCATCTGGGAACCTCTGGACAGAATGGATTGCAATACCACTTATGTTAAATGACTAACAACAGACATATTCAGCTCAGAGAGGACCCTGTACACAAGGGGTTAATAACATCATCAAGAACAATTCGAAATTAAGTGACAACTACACCACTAACCTGATTAAGAGCGTCCATAAGGTCAGGAATGAGTCCTTCATCTATCACCCTCTGGATCTGTGACCTGTTACCAGCGGTGATGTTTGAGAGAGCCCAGGCGGCCTCCTTCTTGGCGTTGTGGTGGCCATTCTTCAGCAGATGACCTAACAGTGGCAGCACCCCAGCATCCAACACCACGTTTGTCTGGAGGTAGAGGAAATGAGGTGTTTAGATGAGGTAAAATGAGAGGTGAGGCGGCTAAGGGTGATAGGTGGATGGTGGTTATGGAGGTAAACAAGCCTGGTGGTGGTGGACTTGTGTGGTAGATGGTAGTGGTGTAACTATCAAAGGAGAGTGAGGGTGGATGTATGAGACACCTTTGAACAGAGTAAATAATATATACAACTTTGAGAATCAGGTTTTTCATCCCCCCACCCCCGCCCCCCCGACACACACACCTGGTCATCATCACCAGTGGCAATGTTCCCTATGGCTCTGAGTGCTGGGGCTATCTTCTGCTTCTCACCAGAGCCCAGATGATGGATGAGGGAGGACACCACACCAGCAGATATCACCTCCTGTATTCTGTTTTCATCCTGGTCAGAGATGTACCCCACGGCCCAGAGCGCATCAACTGCCAAGATGATCCAATTAGTGGTATAATAATAAGTAGGTGTTCAGCGGTCTAGCATTGAATTCCTCACCATTAGAACTTAAAGAAATGGTGCTCTCTAACTCAGCTCAACAAGGCCTTGTTTCTGACTTCCAGGCTGCATTGTGTGCTGAACACAAAGGTTGTCAGAACACAAATGGGCAGCCGTTTCTTACCCCCCAAACTTCTTTGATTTCAGATCAAGTGAGAGTTGGCACAAAAGTTATTCTATTATACTTCTTATTTGGCTCTACAATAGATATACCTTTGTGGGCCTTAAAATTTCTGTTTTCCTTTATTTGCTGGCATTGAGGCAGTCGGGCTAATTCTGGAGACTTAGAGCTCTTAGAAGTGACTGCAAACACCCACGTCACCACACGGACGAGCGTCACCTGAGGATACACACAAGGTTAGGGTGGTGACTGAGCGTGATGAATGGAAGATCACGCAGGGTTAGGGTGGTGACTGAGCGTGATGAATGGAAGATCACGCAGGGTTAGGGTGGTGACTGAGAGTGATGAATGGAAGATCGCTTGAAGATTGAGCCACTTAGTTTATTTCACTTGAAGATTAACCAACTTATTGCTATCTGAGAGGGTTAGGTTAGGATAGATTAGGTCAGGTATTCATTAATGTGGTTAGGTTAGGTGGCTAATCTTCCACTGAAAAAAGTTAAGGTGTTTAATTGTCAGGTGATCAAATAAATGGTTAGAAAATATATGGCCATTTCACTGTTCAATTTCTAGCAACACTGACCCTAGCCTTTGACTCTAATAGCCTCTCTCTATATCAAAACTCAACCAGGAAGTTTACCATTAAGAACTGTATTTCTATATTGTTCAATCATGTTATAGCGAAGTCGTGTAAAGTGAAATCCTATAAAACGAGGAATTAATGCAGCTCAAATAGGACTATACAGTAGAGGTCACACAGGATGTTTATCAGGACCCATTACACAGGATATAATATTGTGACGTTGAATGTGTAGGAGTGACCAACAGGGTCATAGGATCATACCGGGGCAGGTTTTCTGTTGACGTCCTTAAGTGTGTCGAGTAGAGGACCTGTGACTCCCTCCCTCACCACGTGGTTCCTGTACTCCTGACAATCCCCGACGATGTTCCCCAGCGCCCAGGCCGCCTGCTCCTTCACGATTATGGTTTTACACCGCAGTAAGTTGATCAAGATGGGAACGGAGCCTCCATCTGGGGTATGGGGCGGTAAGAAAAGTGTGAGATGGATTGACAACTTAGCTTGGACTGGAGGATAAGGTAAAGTAAATCTACATAGTGATGCTTTTGTATGTGATGTTGAGTGTCTTCTAGATGTGACTATTGATACAAAAGTTTATCAAGTGAGGTGTAGATTAGTAATTTATGCATTTTTCTTTGTAATGAGAATAAAGTAAGATTTGGTAACCCCACAAAAGTAAAGCTTAATGTGGTTTGAAGCTCTGTGTGTGTGTGTGTGTGTGTGAGTATTTAAGATTGAGTGGGTGTACATGAGTGTGAACATGACAACAGGAGGCACTCACCCACTACAGCCCCTGTCTGCTCAGAGTTGCCGGCTGCCAAGTTGGTCAGTGCCCAGGTGGCCTCAAACTGCAGGGTGGCTCTATGGAGACAAGAGAACTGATGATCACCCTCATTACTTGTCGTTGTTATATACAAGAAGAATTGTAAAATCCTTATATGAATTTCTTATATAAAATTGTTAATCAAGACAGTTCAATGAGGTTGCTGTAAAACAAATTTATATCATTTCCTCCCACTGCAGTTATAAATACTATTACCTTCCCCACCTAAGGACCAACCACTTACTCGTCCTCCTGCTGCAGATGTGGGATGAGTGGTGAGAGGATCCCCGCCTTCAGGAAGTCACCGATGGGCGGACTGTCCTCGATGGAGAGCAGTTTACGAGCCCTGACGGTGTTCTTGAGGCGACGCTCACGACTGTTGCTGCCGATCCCCTTCACGATCTCCTGCAGTGTTGCCTGTGTGTACTTCAAGTCCTGAGGGGAGTGGACGTCAGTAATGTTTTCAGCAAGGAGAAAGTACAGTAGAGGAAAAACAAAGAAAAGAATGAACGAAAGGATATGATGGAAATATTAACTCACCCTCCTGCACACACACACACACACACAGTCAGCCCAAGCATACCTCTGGGTCATTGTCTTCTTCTTCAGTCTCTGCCTCAGATCCCCGACTCCTCCCGGTCTGAAAAAACAAATCTAATCAGCGACAAATAAAAGCATCATGGACATAATACAACTGCCGGAGGTAAATATAATTCAAATATAAAACATTTAGGCCATTGATGTCCGGCTTGGGCGAGGGTGGTTAGGAGCCTAATCTAATTTAACCTAACCATGACCTAAACGTCCGCTCACAATAGAATTCAGAGTACCGGTAACTTTTCCATTTATATCATTAATGTTTGGTTTTGCTGTATTTATTATTAGAAGAATATTGTTCACTATAAACAGTTGTAATTCTTTTAATTTTCACATGACCAAAAAATTAAGATATTGTAGCTCCTTCTTACCACTGGTCGCTTCTCTCTGTTCTCTGGAAGTGAAGCATCAGGCTGCAAATAAATAAATAAATAAAAATCTAGATTACTGAATTTTATGTGAATATTACTTCTGCAATATTAGACTGTTGTATTTTTAGAAGTTTAAGTAAATCAAATGAGGTTAAACCCTTCACTACAGGGATGTCACAAGGGGTTGAGAGATAAAGTCAAAACAATACTTAACAAAGATTAGATGAAGATTATAAAAAACTGTGATTAACTTGAATTTACAGTTGTGTTAATGATCTTACTCTGGCTGGGTTACCTTAGCCGATCATTGGCAAAGAGGATAACGTGTTAATGATAATAAGACTCACTGGTGGTTCATCTGGGAGAGGCTGGTGGGAGGACAGGAATTGTGGGTTATTTGGTCGTTATATGTAATCACTAAACCCTTCACTATGGGGACGCTACGTTGGATATTTTACTTGGCTAACGCTAGACAGTTTTATTCAGCTCAGAGGGGACCCCATACACAAGGGGTTAAGAGATGAAGATTATGTATTTTCACTATGGCATTCATATACATCACTTGAAAATACACCTGGTTTATACACAATGCCACACACAGACATACATTTAATATACATGAAGCTGTTCTATGGTGTATATATTATAATTACAGAGATAAATTATATATTCATTAAAAGAGATAAGCTTTGACAATAAAAGTTCCTGTGGCAATAAGATATAAGTACCCTGTACAGTATGGTGCATTACCGTAATTACCTAAATTATTCAAGACAGACACACACACACATACCCACACATACATAGACACACAGACCACTAAGACACACAGACCACTAACACACACACACACACACACACACACACACACATACACACACACATACAATCACACACAACACTAACATACCAACACAAACACACACATACACACACACATACACACACACATACAATCACACACAACACTAACATACCAACACAAACACACACATACAAACTGCATATATCTAAAAAAAGAGGCAACACTAACATACCAACACAAACACACACATACAAACTGCATATATCTAAAAAAAGAGGCATTTTACCGTCCTGCGTTTCCCTGAACTCTGAAAAAAAGAGAAGTACAATAATCAATAATAATTCTCCTAGGGATTTTTCATTTTCAATTTGCACATTGACCTTAAATATACACATGATATCAAACAAATGTATTTAATTGCATAATGTTGATATGCAGAACCTATCTACCAGTACTACTAGCCCCCACCTTACCAGTACCCATCTACCAGTACTACTAGCACTAACCAGTACCCATCTACCAGTACTACTAGCCCCCATCTTACCAGTACTACTAGCCCTCATCTACCAGCACTACTAGCACCAAGACCTACCTGCCTGGAGGGAGCTAGAGAGGACAGTTCACTTGACGTCTCCCTTCTCTTGCCAATACTGGGTAGTGGAGGATTATAGGGGCTGCAGGCTGTGGGGAGGAGACAGATAATAAATATGGGGAGAGAGTGTGTTGGGAGAGTATAGGGGTGATAGTTGTGGGGAGGGAGTGTGGGGGTGATAGTTTGTGGGGAGGGAGTGTGGGGGTGATAGTTTGTGGGGAGGGAGTGTGGGGGGATAAAGTTTGTTGGTAGAAAGTGTGTGGAGAGACATGTGGGAAGAAACAGTGTCAGGGGGACAGTGTGTGGGAAGGAAAGGAATGTATTGTGAATGTGAGGATACAATGTGGGGAGACAGTGTGGGTGTGTGGGGAGTGGAAGGATGTATACTGACCACAGAGACACAGAGAGAGGAAAAAAGCAGTATTCTTAAATATAGTTATTTATTTACTTTACATTCCTAACATCTCAGCCAATCAGCTTTTGGGATATTTACTATTCACAACATCTTGGCCAATCAACTGTCAATATATTTACTCTTCATGACATCTCAGCCAATCAGATATCAGCAAACTTACCATTAAAAACATCCCAAGTAGAAGCATGAAATATATGTGTATAGTTAATTAAGAAAGTCACTATACACCTGTTATACTACAGAGGATATATAATGACATCGAATAATATATCAGAAATATATACAAGAAGTAATATAATAATGTAATACTGCATATAACATAAGATTTCATATATAATAACTGGGAAAATACATAACTAATTCTGTATATCTGTAACCGTATCCTCTTTGGCAATGAGGACAGACTGGCTAATTCTGTATCCATATCCTGTGCCACTGAGAATATGGATAAAGAATTAGCTTAGTTACATATTTATTAAGGTAGAGTCTCAGCATAAACCTGACCCCATTAAAGCTGTGGAGTTCGATCTTACGTCATGGTGGACATGTGAGGGAGTGGCTGTATGCTCAAGGGGTCGCTGAAGGTCCGGTGGGTATCTGAGGAGTGTCTGCGTCGAGGCCAGGCACCGACCACCCCCTTGCCACCAGCTCCCCCGGCCCTTAGGAGCGAGGGTTGGGAGAGCGAGGTGGAGTCCTTAGTGAGGGGAGGGGGTCGCATGGTGTTTAAGATGCCCTCCAGCTTGGCCCGCCGCGCCCTGATCGACTCCATCTGTCAACGCGTGGTGTATTGTAGTGACATTGGTGATAACATGGGGTACAGTACAGTATGTTGAAGGCTTTATTGATGATCATATATTAAATTAAAGGCTCTATTTATGATATATCAAAGGCTCTATTGATGACACATACAGTAAGGACTCTATTGATGAAGGGTAAAACAAGTTATCACACCCGACATAGAAATACAAAAAATAAAACAAAATCTAAACTGTAAAACAAAACAAAATCTAAAACTATAAAATAAAACAAAATCTAAACTATAAACTCACATCCATGGCCAAGTTGGAAGGCTTAATATCCTTCCCCCGTCGTCTGAGGGCGGAGGTGGAGCTGAAAGACATGGCTGGTAGGCAGGGGTGTTGACTGGGCTTCACACTGGGGAGATGATGTCCTACACGACCCTTCACTAGCTTCAAGAAGGTTCTGGTCTTCTTACATGGTTGGTGTGGAGTGTGGTGAGGGTGGTGTGGTGAGGGTGGTGTGGTGAGGGTGATGTGGTAGTAGTGGTGTAATGATGGGGTGGTAATGGTGAAAGAGAGATAGGAACACTAAGAAATGAAGGGAAGATGGTACCATTTACCAGTGATGGGGAATTTGAGAACACTATATCAGGTGTATGAGAAATAAGAATATGAGGCGAGGGAATTATGGGAATGGTAGGTCACCATCACTCATTTCACTATCACCCCACCATTAACAACCATTCGAAAATCTGTAAGAATAACATAACATTAATACACTATCCCCCCTAAAAACACCATTAATAACACCCCACTCAACACCACAATACCATAACACCTCTTGTGTGTCTTAAGAGTTCCACTACACCACAACTGCATAAACGGGAAATATATATGACAGTGGTATTTACTTACGCCACAATACCATAACACTCAATATAAAAAAAACCCCATTCATTATACCCAAAACTCTGCTACTCTTACGCAACGCCACGACACATTAACCTAGAAAAAAAAAATAAAATAATTGGTCTTCGTGTCAGGGAACAGAATCGTACCAGGCCTCACGGGACACATCAGAAAATACATTAATACCCCCTGTAAAACTGTAATGACTATAATACGCTAAAGAAAACGAGATTCATATCTATAACTGATCTAATCTTTCTGAAATAAGGATGAAACTGGTGAAATTTTCTCGATAATGCGGAAATCAATGGTTGAGTGTCTTGGATTAGATTAGGAGTGTTCACATCAGGTTAAGTTAGGTAGAAATTATATATTCGTGAGATAGTATGAATGTTTGGCGATAACGTGTAATTAATAGCTGTAATTCTGTTCAATAGTGGAATATCATGCGAATCCGGACCGAGTAACTTTAATTCCTTTTTAATTTCGATTCACTAACCTAACCTAACCCAACTGGGATTAAATTACAGTGATTGCAATAACAACTTTAAATCATACCAACATACAGTAAAAATCAACCAAAATACAAAACAACTGTAATATGTAAAAATATCCTCGTGGTAGTAGTATATAACATGTCATTTGTGTTCATTCCTCTTATCATAGTGATCTCAAGTGCAGTCAGACACACAATGAACTTGTGAATTATTATACCCTGGTTCCCTTTTATTATTCTCCGTCACGTCAGTAATATATATAACCCATTTCTCTAATTTGTACTATAATATTTTTTTAAGCTCGTGATTACTAAAGATTCTAGAGTTAAGAGAATTTAAAAACCATAGTGTATTTTTTTTTTTTTCGTGTTTGGTCAATCTAAAAACACCTTCCCTGTCACTGTCCTTGGCCTGGTTAGTAAGCATGATAGAGCGACCCTAATAAACCCATCGACCTATGACCTAGTATATCTCTCTCTCTCTCTCATACCATTATCTCTCTGTCCGTCTCGCCAACTAAGAATAATGAGGTCTGGCGGGAGGCTTTCCTAAGTCGTATCGCATGAAATATTTACACTATGATGATGATAAGATAGTTGTATGGGAAGGAAGGAAGGAAGGAAGGAAGGAAGGAAGGAAGGAAGGAAGGAAGAAGGAAGGAAGGAAGGAAGGAAGGAAGAAGGAAGGAAGGAAGGAAGAAGGAAGGAAGGAAGGAGGAAGGAAGGAAGGAAGGAAGGAAGGAAGGAAGGAAGGAAGGAAGGAAGGAAGGAAGGAAGGAAGTGTATGTGCTTGAGCGACTTAATACCAGAATCTCCCAATGCAACTGTGAACTCTTAAAAACATTTCCTAATCAACACCAAAATGTTAATCTTCCCTCGGCTATTCCAACTCCAGCAAGAGTCCCTTAACGATGTACTAAAGCACAAACTTCCACCAATCAATACAATTTACTAATTACCACCACCGACACTCAACACCTCCCAACCAATCACAACGCTTGAACTCTCTATCGACAAAATACACCTAACACTGAAATAAGTACACCTAACACTGAAATAAGTACACCTAACACTGAAATAAGTACACCTAACACTGAAATAAGTACACCTAACACTGAAATAAGTACATCTAACACAGAAATAAGTACACCTAACACTGAAATAAGTACCTCTAACAGATATAAGCACACCTAACACTGAAATAAGTACATCTAACACTGAAATAAGTACACCTAACAGAAATAAGTACACCTAACACTGAAATAAGTACACCTAACACTGAAATAAGCACACCTAACACTGAAATAAGCACACCTAACAGAAATAAGTACACCTAACACTGAAATAACACTGAAATAAGTACATAACACTAAATAAGATAACACTGAAATAAGTAATAACCTAACACTGAAATAAGTACATCTAACACTGAAATAAGTACACCTAACACTGAAATAAGTACACCTAACACTGAAATAAGTACACCTAACAATGAAATAAGTACATCTAACACATGAAATAAGTACACCTAACACTGAAATAAGTACATCTAACACTGAAATAAGTACACCTAACAGAAATAAGTACACCTAACACTGAAATAAGTACACTAACACTGAAATAAGTACACTAACACTGAAATAAGTACACCTAACACTGAAATAAGTACACTAACTGAAATAAGTACACCTGAAATAAGTACATCTAACAGAAATAAGTACACCTAACACTGAAATAAGTACATCTAACACAGAAATAAGTACACCTAACACTGAAATAAGTTCACCTAACACTGAAATAAGTACATCTAACACTGAAATAAGTACACCTAAAACTGAAATAAGTACAACTAACAGAAATAAGCACACCTAACACTGAAATAAGTACACCTAACACTGAAATAAGTACACCTAACACTGAAATAAGTACATCTAACACACTGAAATAAGTACACCTAACACTGAAATAAGTACACCTAACACTGAAATAAGTACATCTAACACTGAAATAAGTACACCTAACTGAAATAAGTACACCTAACACTGAAATAAGTACACCTAACACAAAAATAAGTACACCTAACACTGAAATAAGTACACCTAACACTGAAATAAGTACAACTAACAATGAAATAAGTACACCTAACAGAAATAAGTACACCTAACAGAAATAAGTCGACAGTGTGGTTGTTAGGAGTACATAATTATAGGCCTATCATCTTAACTACCAGTAAACACAGACAAATCTTCAATCTATATTCATAATTATTCTCGATACATCAATAATACAGTAATAAATTAATATAACTAATCTACTGTACTTACAAAACTGTATAATTGTAGGTTGTATTTTATTGTAACGGGATATAATTTTTGCTGTACTACACAAGTTGATTCAATTACAGTCTATATGTTTTGTCTTCTAATTGGTATTTAAATAATTTATGTAATTTATCTCGTTATGAATGTTTAAGTAAAATTGTGAGGACATTCTAGACGGTACTTAATATACTTATAAGTGTGTTGAGTGTTTTTTTTATGTCCCAATTATGAGGAAAACTTAAGAGCATTTAATAATTCAGAGAAGTTATAAGTTAATTAAATAAGGAATTAATATCGCCAGGAATTTTTACCTTAGTACAACTGGTCATAAGGTATTAAATTATAATAAACCAAACTAAACCTAAACTACCTCACAATCTTAAAGTGTTTTAGTTTAATTAATTGTTTAAGATGTTTTATACTCACAGAATCACTATAATCCGGTTAAATTTACTGTAGGAGGCAACAAGCTGTCATTACACCACGTATGCTTTGGGCTGGACTGGTCAGATACTGGAAGCTTAAATCCATCCACTTTTCTCAGTCTAGTTCACATTATTCTCTCTCCTCTTCTCTTCACTTTATCCCAGCCGTCACTGTAAAAAATATTGATATCCTTTGACACTGAAAACAATCCCTACGGTGCTATATAACAGCCGTGATTCACTGTTAAACCACACTTCACAATACCACACCTGATGGACCCACACTGCACACTATCGTCAGCTGGCGTGCATGTGTTCCTTGGGGTGTGGGGTACGGGGGGAGGAGGGAGGCAAGATCCCCCCCCCCCTATATTTAGGTGCAGGAGGGGGAAGAGTGGGGGAGAGGTGGAGGGGTGAGGGAGATACTGATGGGAGGGGGGAAGGCAAGTGACCACGTGTTGCTAGACAACCTGGTAAACAAACTTTGCCTACACCGTTGCCATTTTTCTACATATTTACGTACAGTTAACCCTTATATACATAACTAATGAGTGAATATTGAAATTTATATATAACTATTACTCTCTAGTGGCTAATTTGCTTTAAGAACTATTACTGGTAGATATATACAGATAATAAGTTCATGAATGGGGAAACTTGGCATAAGGACAAGAAATATGTTCATGTAACTAAAATAAACGATAACATTAATATATTACTATATTTACTTCACCTCTAGAGAATTACTGTAAAGAATAAATTCTAAAAAATACGTTGCAAAGTTAATTAATGAACTGCTGAGTAGTCACACATGCTAATAAGTTTATAATTAGTTCATCATATATACCCTTATAGACAATTTACTTCCAATTAACCAGGAATTTTATACCATCAATTAACAAAGTATACATGATTTAAATAAACATGGATCACCTGAAGAATCTCCACCCCAGCTTATTTCACTTGAAGACTAACCACCCTAACCTCTCCCCCCCCAATAGTGTTAAGGTAGTTAATCTTTGGGAGAAATAAACTGGGGTGACCATGGTAATTCATCAGGTGATCCACTGCTAATTAAGTTTATGGATCCAAAATACTGTACAATATATGCTTAAACTTACCACATAACTGCTTGTAGTAGGTGAACAGTTGTATGCTTGTCACTCCAATATGGGATAGAAAGGAAGAGCCTTGACAGTATTCTAAGCTTGTGGCTTCTTGACCTCTAGTGGGGTGGACATCTGCCAGCTCCAGGCATGAACACTCTACTGAGTACCTGTAACGTCTTCTGATGTGTTTATAAACTATTAAGTCACCCTTTGTCTGCCTATAGTATAAGCTGGGCAACTGCAGGCGTTCTAATCCCTCTGGGTAAGTGAGATGCGTTAGTACAAGCATCAGTCTGGTGGCCCTCCTTTGGGCGTTTTCAATCAATTGAGAGTCTTTTAACATATCTTGGGGACCAGACGGGGTGACAGTACTCCAGACGGGGAAGCACTTCACTTCCCTGTTTGGAGTACAGTACAGTCGCATATAAATTTAACCCTTTAGCAGGCAAAGTCTCCCTTAGGGACTGTATTCTCACTTAACACCAGATGATTTTATTCAGTTGAGGGAAGCCCTGCCCACTAAAGGGTTAAGGTAAGAAAGTAAACACAAGTTACCATCGTTTTTGTTATTTCACAATAATACATCATTATGGTATACATGGTGCATTATAACTAAAATAAAACATGATCTGGTAGCACTAGCCTATTTTTAAAAGAGATAATGATAATGTTATCAAAACCCATATAGTACAGTAATAGACATACCATTATAAAACTTATCAAATATCACAATATACAGCTTCAACTGCAAGCTAACAGTCTCAACTGAATAATACTAAGTAACAGGAGGGGGAGAAAAGGTAACTGTTCTTGACGGCTGGGCAGGCTGACACACTCACATCCTCGCGCGATTTAACACATTATTACAACCTATTACAAACACAATAAATTAATTTTCAAGATCAATTTACTAACTATCATGAGAATTTAAATTGCAACCTTGGAAGACTGGAGGAAGATTTCTTACAATTTTACCATTAAGAGATATATTATGGTAATACTTCAGACAAAAACACTGGGAGAATATTACCAGATTCCAAATACACAGTAAATAGTATGGCCTCCAAAAGGGGTCAGCAAACATTTCATCACCAGTTTGTTGAATACCACGATATATTTATTAAATTTAGATAATAATGTCTTTATTTTGGAGACGACAAAGCCATATTTAGGTCGAGTTTATACTGAACCGGTGACAAAATGCCCTAGAACTATCCAAAAGTTACAAATGCTGCCTCGTATCAGAGTCCACTGGCTAGGATCTCCCCCCTCCAATATACCGACCTAGGTAGACTTTATTTTAACCCATCAATCTTAATACCTGCACAGTATGAATGTCTAAAAAAAAAAAATAAAAAATAATAATAAAAAATCACCCTATAGAACAGATACTCATTCCTGTATATAATATTTTGTATCATAAAACTGAAGAATATTATATAAATACATTATCGATCAATGATAAATATCCCGGCGTAGATTTTTTTTTGCATCCTAATGAGTGTAAAAAGTGCAACCAACCCTTATAAATACTTTGAACATATATAATAGCTTTTCTCAGGGACCACCACACGAACGACTAACTTCAAGGGTGGCGGTAACCAGAGCGGCTGTAACCAATCGACTTTGGTGACGGTGAAAATGATGATTACACAAGTAGTCAAACGTTTCCTACCCAATAAACTAATTACTACAACTGATAACTAGTGCAATAAGAAGAAACATTTATTAATTTATTGACAATGAAAGCACAGAACTCAATAACCACAACGAATATCGGATTGTGTTAAGTTATCGGCAATGAAACTACAGAACTCGACCACAAAATATTACCGATCATATTAATTTTAAATGACGCACTAAATGGGTGAAAACCAAACGTGCCAAATCAACGACGCTCTTGAAACTCCCTGTGGTGGCCCCTGTACTGTTCTTTACATATGATGCTACAGTTCATTCACATAAGAGGGGGCAGGTGGGGGGAGAGGAGGGGTTAAAAGCTCGTCATTAGTCGAGGCAGTAGAGTAGTATTATCCTGATGTCTTCTAGAGCACTACTGACGACAAAACGCTACTAAAATACCACAGAACGTACAAAAAAAAATCACAGAAACGCACGCACTCACACACCCACCAGTCTTACCTCCGCTGCTCAGGTATAACTTGTATTCACACTTAATCCGTACTTTACTTCTACTGTACATTTTTTTTTTTTGCTCACTCCTGTAAAGTTTCTGAAAAATACTTACATAATGAATTACAAACTGAACTACTGTACTGTATTCCAAAACCCCACTACAGTACTTTGATTTGTCTTTTAACTACAGGGTGTCCAAAAATGATTATACCCTGATTAAACCATGATAGCATACTGTTTTTAGGGTACTCATTTATAGACACCCTGTTCTATTAGTACAGTATCTTCAAGTTAATATCTGTACAGTAGTTAAATATGAAGAACAAAAAAATTCCAACTGGTCTCTAAGTTCATCCTGTTTCAACAGAGGTGTTAAATATATCCTATCTATAATTACAGGTACAAGATGTCTCAGAAATATATATACACATTGTTTTTTACAGATTTTCGTGGAGATTGCATTATGAATTCTTGTATTAAAACACCAATATTATCCCCACTTGTTGATGTGCGAGGTCTCCTACAAGTGATGACAAAGTTTTCAAAGTTTCTGTTGTAAAAAATAAAAAAATACATTCACACAACACCAGAAAAAACTCTCAGGTCCTGTGTATAAATTTTTCTGAGACAATCTGAATTCCTATCATTCCCTCATGAGTAGAGAGATACCCTCCTCCACAGTTATGGGAACCTCACTTTCAAGTCATACGTTCCAATACAGAATGACCCCCACCCACAACCTGGGTTAAAGCCAACACCATTAATACCATCAACATACTTTTAAAACAGTCACAGTGGCTCCCTTTACTTTAGTGACCCTGCAGATTGTAACATAAACTCCTCATCTACAAGCATAATAAACACCAATTCACACAAGGCCAAATTAAATATCTAATTAAAGAGAATAAACCAATAATGTTAAGTGTAAAGATTATCAAAAGTGATACTCTAAGTTCAGATCTGTTTATACTCCTCAGAACAAGTGAAGTAAGTGTCTTTTAAAACATATACCCAGAAAAGTTATTAAAAGCTACCCGGCACGTCAGGATACACGTCACACAAATTTGGTTTATCACAACAGCTGGCATTCCCGAGGCGCTAAAAACAGACTGAACTTTTAACATCTCCCACACTGACTTAACGAGGCATATTAGTTCATATTTTTGGCAGAGTGAAAGACTAAAAAAAAAAAAAAAACTAGAGATACACAATGAATAAACTCAACACGGCTTAATTTTTACATCGCGGCTCTCGGCCTATTGTTACAGTACTGACTAGTGTGGAACAGAGAGACAGCGATCACCCGCCAACAGGTAAATGATCTTATACCACTTTTCCATTTTTAGTTGGGTACAATTCTTAAACAGTACGGTAAAACCTCTATTTAACGGACTATATGGAGAGGAAAGCCCGTTATATCAAGGGTCCATTAAATGTAAAACCTCCATCTAATGAACTATATAGAGATGAAAGTCCATTTTATCGAGGGTTCATTAGATGTGAAATCCCCATCTAATGAACTATATAGAGATGAAAGTCCATTATATAGAGGTCTCACTGTATATGCACTGCAGTGTTTGTTGATCGACCGACTATACAGTAATCTCTTTAGTGTCGGTAGTTCACTCAAGCATTAGGTATCCAGGTACAGTACATACAAACATCACAGCTTGGCCTCTATCTTTAGTTCTCAATTAGGAAGATTTAATATATTACTACAGCACAAGGCAGCAGGGAGGTGTGTTAGTCATGGGGTGTATAATGTAAGGGGACACAAACATAATATTTATTAAGAAATTTCATGATACCAGGATTTAATATTAACAGTGGGTGAGTATATTGAGTGGATTATTCTCCTTCAAATAACTGGAAAAACACACAACTCAAACTGAAAAGGATAAGAAAGTTTAGCTGCTAGTTACGCAACCCCTTCACTATAGGGACGTCACTTCTGAGATTTTATTTAGCTAACGTCAGTCAATTTTATGCAGCACAGAAGGAATCCCATACACGAGTGGTTAAAAACAAAGACCATAGCTACGTTATCGAATATATCAAAACACATAACTAAAATAATACTATACAGTTCACTACCAAAACCCGTTTACCTCTCCCCCTGGATCACGAACCCCCAAGAGATTCAGACTTGTGAACCTGAAGCAGTAGACTGATGCGCTATTCTATCCATAAATGCTTCAGATTCATGGTTCAGGAAAAAAGACAAACAGATTTTAGTAGTTGACTGAGCCGACATAACCCATTTTGAAATCTTCTTAATGTACGATAAGTCAAGAAGGCCATAACTTGGAACAATAAGAACATAATAATAACAATCAATCTTGCTAGAGGTATGATATCATCCTACACATCCAGTTTGGTTAAAAAATTCTGCTATTTGTTGGAGCATTAGTGTTTACAGAATCATTCACACAAACACTCAACATTATAATACAGTAACCCTTTCACAAGAGCACTAATGAATGACAAACATTACAGCACTGTATCACACAAAACAAATACAAAACTTCAATAGAGATAAATAACTGTAATGTATAAGATTATCTTTTCCTTTACATTCGTCTCATTCAATAAAATTACGGATTTATACAATGCGTCGTAAAACATTCAAAATACATAAATTCTTTGTTTCTGTTATAATTATCTAGTTTTCATTCAATTACAAAATCATCTAATGTATGAAAAAATACGAAAAATAACAATTACAATTACAGTACATTGTTTCCTTTTGTTACAGGTACATTTGTCTAGTCTCCAATAAATTACAAAATCATGTCATACATTAAATTATACTCAAAATGATAAATAGTTTCATCTTCATCTTGTTCCATTAAATTACAAAATCACGTACCTGTAATGCATCATAAATTCTTAAAATGATAACAGTACGTTTCATCGGCGAAGAATGGATGACATAACTCCAATAAACACACACTTAAGAAATGACTCCTTTTCTAAACATCGATTAGACAATATCTTATAAAAATAGCAATCAAAATACATATATATTTTTTCTTTCACAATTCCATAAACACATTCATAATATCTAGTACATACAGTGTTAAATATTAAGACTGTATGGAGCATTGTTCGGGTGTGTGTGTGTGTGGGTATTCGTGTGTCTAGATGTTCATGAGGCTGACATTTGTAATTCATGGATTCCCTGTACAGCATTTAGTAAAAGGAGTAACCTTCCTCCCCCATCCTCTTAAACTACCAAGGAATACTGTACAAGCTCATGCCATCTACTAAGTAATAAATGAACTGCTACAGTACCGTCACCTGCACTAAGACTTGGCACAGTGGCTAATGCTTTTTTGTGAGATGTGGCAACTCTGTGTTTATTTACATCATATTAAAAAACCTCAGAATAGCCCCAAGGAACCTCACAATAGACTAATTATGCTTGATAACTATTCTACAGAGTTGTCACATCTCACAAAATGCACCAGTCACTGTGTCATGAATAAATGCAGGCAACTGTACCTAAGCTAAAGAATTCAAAACATTCTTCTACCACCATAAAATTACTTGATTACAATAATTTTTTTTAGTAACTTTTATGCAGACGTCGATACAAAAATTTAACCAGCCCTGAGGTTACATTGGATAGTTTCTGCCACACACTGCAAAGAGCTAAGAGAATAAGAATTTATAAATACAAAATGGAAAAAGAATAGTAATTAATTATAAAAAAGTTATAAACATTTTGACAGATTGCAAGTACTGTAGCAGTTACATCCAATTTTCTGAACATTACCCAAAGAAGAAACTGCAATGACAACTTTTTCGATCTTAAACAAATCCAACAGCACGAACTACAAAACAAACACGGCAGACCACCTATTCAATACCGGTGAAGTATACCGCGGATTACTTTAATTTACCAAACTCATAATGGGAACTCTTATTTATATACTGTACACCAGATGAGCCGAACTGATACCACTCAAAACACATATACGTTACAAGCTTACTCGGTTTAAATGCTCAGACCAATTCTGTACACTACAAACTCTACGTCACGACACATATATATTACCTGGAATTTCTCTTGAAGTTTCCATTGTCATCTGTGAATTTTTTAAGTTAATTTATGTTTTTTAAGAATATTTAATAACCTTTAATACACAAACATTTATATTACACAATGTTTATATAATCTTCTTCATCATTACAGTTATCAGAGCAATTTCTCACATTACAAATGTTTGATAACTCTTAAATTGTCTTCAAGTTTGTTTTCTAGTGACATAATAATTTATTAATTTAACAATACATTAACTATTGTAATGGGTCATAATATCTTACCTGGAATATTAACAAAATATCACCAAATCTTTAAACCATTACTCAATATTTGTCATATCATAAATTTTTGGTATGGGAATAATATGTTAAGATATGGATTCATATTTAATATTATCCACTTAAAAGCAAAAACCATATTTAATGTCATAACTTCCGTGTAATTAACGTCAAGAGGAACATCAGGATCCAAACACAATTACATAACTGTACTGTGAACTCTGACAATGGAGACCCAATCAACATTTTTTAAAAGATCTAACACTAGTCTATAAAATAATTAGGGTACATAATGACACAGCCAATTGATATACGTATAATATATAAAAATGAAATTCATATTGTGTATGCACGACGTATTTACACTTGCGGCCGAGTGATTCTGAGGGTTTACGTAAAAAAAAAACATCCATGTGGTATTTAGCAGGCGTAATTAATGCTAGCCAGAGGTCATAAGAACACTGTATGTGACTCCAATGTAAATGTTGACACAATTCTTTTCATAAGTACATGTACCAGTCAAATATTTCTTCAACAAGCGAGTACAGTATTTGTATTGGGAACGTGTGAAGATTTTAGGCACCCCGGCTTATTTCACCAGATGATTTAACACCCAAATGCTAACCTAACCTAGCCCCCCCCCCTCCCCCAAGGTAGTATTAGGGTGTTTAATCATCAGGTGAAATAAACTTGGAGGGCTAAACGTCATCTGATACCTTGTATTGTTTTAAATCTCTCGTAATGACTTTTCTCGAGACTCCATAACTGTAGAGGTTTAACCCAAGATAACTCAGCCTATCCCAACCCAACAGATTCCAAGGATGTGACAATGACAACGTTACTTTCTGTCAAATTTCAAAGGACAGGATTCGCTTTGAGTAATGAAGACAAAACTATTACACCAGAACCAATACATAATACACAAGTACATTAAGTCTTTCAGTAGCAATTCATAAACCAGCTAAGGCTACAGTCTCAATTACCGACCGATTCTCAATGGTTAAAGTATCCCATTTAGCACAGTGGTTAGCTAACTAATTCAAGTCTTTTATTAATGCAAGTGGTGGTGGTTATATCCCTCAGTCAGATACACAGTAATATGTAGTCAGTCACGCACTAATGCCACTCAAGGGAACCATATTGCCAGACAGACAGGGAACTAAAGCCAGTCATTGGAATATACACGAGTAAGTCAGTCAAGCACAAGAACGTTAATTTTCCAACTGAGATCTAAAAGATAAGAGGAAATAATACTAGATAACCTGTGGGCAGTGGAGAATTATTATTATTTTTTTTCATTTTCAATCCACGGTTTCCCTAAGATTTTAATCGTGTCGAATACCGATAGAGGCGGTCTGTAGTACTACACTTGATCGAGCTACACCACAGTTTATCTCTAGTCTATACAAAGATGAGAGTCACAGGCAGGACACTACTTCACCTCCTCAGTACTGCACCACTACCAAACTTGTCACACATTTACAGGACACTGCAAAAGGCAATTCATTGAGAAATTTGTATTAAGGCAGCCGTCACTTTGATATGAGAATTTCACTATTGCATGACACAAATGCATAATTGTGGTATTTTTGTTAACATTATTGGATTCTTTACTTGTCAAGTTTGTTGCAAAAGAATATTTGGTCCAAATGTGGATTTTCAACACTGAATATTCTTATCGCAGCTAAGGCGCCTGTCGTCGAGTGTAAACTGTCACTGAAATTCTTCGTCTGAAATAAGTTCAAAATCTTCTTCCAGGTCTGTAGTGGACTGTTGGTTGGGGTCGTGTGACCTGGTCATTCTGGCCGGTGGCTGCTGCTGTCGTCTGGGCTGCTGCTGACTGGTAGTGGGCACAGGTTGAGCAATGGCTGTAGACTGCCCTATCACAGAGGTTACTAAATTTTGCCCTAAAGCAGATAAAACGTTACCTGCATTTTGAGCTATTACACTACTCATAAGTTGACCTATAGGGTCCATAGTTGTTGTAATGGGGAGCTCATTAGGGGGATAACTTTGTGGGTATAGAGGCTCTTGTCTAATTTGACTTCGTTCCTCAAATGTGAGACCCTCAATAAATGCGTCCTCCTCGTCGCTACTCTCCCCAAAATGTGAGGAGACAAACTGCATTTGGTATCTGTCTCCGCCAGGTCCTTGCCTCTCTTGACGAGGTTCAGGTACAGGATGCGGCAGCTCTGGCAGGTCTAAGTCAGGTCCATCCAGGTCCTCAACACTTTCATGGTCATAGGACGGAAAGTCCTGAGGAAGTCCACTTGTGAAACATGTGGTGTTGCCGTCCTCTGCAAGAGACACAAAAAATTAGAACATGTAAGATTTTAAAGATTACATGACTAATTTAAAGAGATTTAACCAATTTTAACCCCTTATGGATGGGGGTCCCTCTACTCTGACTAAAATCATCTGATGTTAGCCAAATAATATATCAAAAAATACCATCCTGCAGTGATGAGGTTAAATAATAAATCATTTCCCCACATTCAAAGTTGCATAGCAGGTAAAAACATCACCCTCACACTATAACAATATTTAAACCTTAAAAACAGTCAAACATCTAACACTAGTAATGAATAAGTTAATTACAGTTGAAGTAGGTAAGGTATTAACAAATTACTAAACAAATAAAAGGACACATTTTTATTTGTTCCCACTACACATCCTAGAGTAAAATGTGATGTTTGTGATGCTCTTCGTACTGCACAAAGGTCACGCGAGGTCTGTATCCTACTACCTTGATCGTGTACAGTACATCTACTGACCTCCTTGTGTGTGGGATACTCTCTCTGCTGAATAAAACCTCCAATACCCAAATAAAATATTAAAAGTGGCATCCCCACAGCAAAGATGTTAATGTAATCAATCGAGTCTACCTTCACCTTTAACGCAATGTACGGCAGCTAAAACAACTATCCGTGCAGGTGGGGATCGATATGCTCAGAAATTTTACGTGTGACCTTGTGACAGCCTTCATATACCCAAATTTATCGTCCATGATCTCATATTGTTCCAATAAAGTATGAATAGATAGTTGTTTTAGCTACTGTACATAAGACACAAACAATTTACCGGACATGATATCTGATCAGGCGATGAGGATTTAATAATGGTAGTTTAGTGATGTACAGGGTGTCTCATAAGTGCATCATAGGGAAATACAGGGTGTCTCATAAGTGCATCATAGGGAAATACAAGGTGTCTTATAGGTCATGCTCTATAGAAGACACTCTGTATTTTACTATGGCACATGACCTATAAGACCACCGCATTACCCTATGGTACACGACCTATGACACACCCTGTATTCTACTATGGCACATGACCTATGTCACACCCCGTATAAGATAAACATCCATCTCAACACATGGTACAGCACCTCCAGTTACGAGAGGGAGCGACAGACCCTGGGCGGCTGCAGACGCCTCACCCGCTCCCTTGCTGCCTTTCCGCGACCTCTTCCTCGTGCTGCTCTCCCTGGCCGCCTCCCTCAGGGTCTCCGCCTCCTCCATCATCTGTTCTACCTCAGGTGGGTCTTGGCTCATCAGCGGCACATCCAGGGCAGCTTGGGCCTCCAGAGACTGAAGTTCTGGCATGAATTCGGATATGTCGCTATCGAGAGACACGTTGGATGTTTCTGGGGATAACAAGCTTCGTTAGTTCTCCTCTGTTGATTTACGTGCGGTAGTCTTAAGATCACCTGAAGTTTAAGCACCCCAGGTTAGTTTTTATCAGGAAGTTTAACCATTTTAACATACCAAAACCCAATGCAAACTAGCCTAACCTAACCCAAACTAACCTACCCTAACTATTCATATTCAGAGTCTGTATACAACAACAAACGTACAGAAATAGTCAAAATACACAAGACAACGTTATTCCATATGCATACTTACTGCCTATGCATAACTAGTACACCCTGGGCTCAGTAATGCCACACACACACACACAAACAATCTGATTAAAATATATCAAGCAAAAAGTCAAGAGGATGAGAAAATGTTTAAATTAATGAGCTAAGGAGAGAATTTATCTGTGAAATGTTGATATTATTATCTCCCTCTCTCTCTCTCTCTGACAATTAATCTCTCTCCCTCTCCCCGTATCCCACATTATATATAACTCTCTCTCTCTCTCCCCATCTCCCACATTTTCTCTCTCTCTCTCCCCATCTCCCACATTTTCTCTCTCTCTCTCCTATATTATCCCTCCTTCCCTTTCCCTCTCTCTCTCTCTCTCCCTCCCTACGTAGCATCAAGGTATTTAATCCTCTCCACATACCCCCCCAACACACTCACCCATGCCGGAATCGTCACCTCTAAGGGCGGATCGGATTCTATTAATGCGCTCGTAGAAGGAATCTGGCAAGACGTGGAGGACGACGCCCGGCCCAGTTACCACCACCATCAGGAGGATATAGACGAGCACAGCCCCCGGCACCATATGGCCCACCACGGCCCCCACGCTCAGGACGGTGGTCACGATGGCACAGAACTGGAAGACAAAAGACAATTGATGCCACAGAACTGGGAGAGAAAAGGGAATTGATGGCACAGAACTGGAAGACAAAAGACAATTGATGACACAGAATGTATATAATTTGGGCAACAAGGTCGTGAATGTATATAGATGGTGCCTGTAAATAGTAAATGTACATAAAGGTATTAGAAGAGATGAATGTACATAAGCATCGACCTGGAACTAGTGAATGTGTATGAACAGATGAGGAATCTATATACACAGAACCTGGAACTGGGGGATATATATAAAAAAAGAACTTAGAACTGGGGAATGTATTGCTATTTGTCTATTCCAAGCTTTGTCTGTCAGTTGCTTGGCGTGTGGTGGTGGCTGTGTTGTGTGCGTCAATGGTTAAGTCAGGCAGCTATGTGTTAAAACTACCATGATACACACACACACACACACACACACCTACCTACCTTTGAGTTACAGGTGTATCAGAATGCTTTTAGGTGTAGTTAATTGTCCCATGTCATGAAATACCTGACCTACAAACAGGATGCCAAATCTCCACATGACAGTGTATACATATGCAGCTACTGTATAGAGCACATCAATAAACTCTCTCTCACTGTATAGAGCACATCAATAAACTCTCTCTCTCTCTCTCTCTCTCTCTCTCTCTCTCTCACCTCTCTCACATCTCAATGAATGGCAAAAACTGAGATACAAGTATTGAATAACATATAAAACAGCAACAACAAAAAGAACGTTATTTGTGGTTCCTTCAATCATCCTTAAGCATCAAGTGAGGTAAATATTATTGGTTACTGTCCGATGCTAAATAAACTGTTTATTATTATTCAGGCGGGTGAAGTCTGGGCCACACCTGTGTATACTGTGGTCTAGTGTAGTAGTTCCTCTCACACCATTACTGTGCCACACCTCCACACCACACCACCACTATAGCACACCACATCACAGCACCACTATACCACACCATCACTATACCACCTCTAACACTATATCATTAGTATGCCACACCACTACACCACCATCCTAACACTTTTACTTTGATCTTCCACAAACAATCACCATCACTGCACCACACTTGCACCATCACACCATATCACACCACCACGTCCATCACCACCATACCACCTCCACCTCCTCCAACACACACCATGTAACGTGTGTACTGTGACTGTTTATCATGTGTGTACCATGTGGCATGTGTGTGTACCATGTGATGTGTATACAAGTGGACGGACATAATCCAACCAGCTCATATTTCTTTCAAGTCCAGACATCCTGTAATATACGTAGTGTATGTTGGTCGATATTTTATTTAACACGGCCATATGTGCAACGTGTGTGTGTGTGTGTGTGTGTGTGTGTGTGTGTGTGTGTGTGTGTGTGTGTGTGTGTGTGTGTGTGTGTGTGTGTGCGTAGGAGACTATAAACACACAGGGTGCCCTAGAACACACTAAGGGAGGTAAGATACACACTAGGCTGGCCACCTCCACCCTGTGTGCTATCTGTAAAAAATATACAAGGGGGAGATTTAGTGCACAAGGAAGGGAAGGGGTAGGTTAGTACGCGGTGGTGATGGGAAAGAAGGAAAGGGGCAGGATATACACTTGGTGATGGGAAAGGAGTGTGTGTGTGTGTGTGTGTGGTGTGTGTGTGTGTGTGTGTGTGTGTGAGAGGGGCGTGACAGGTATCTAGTCAATGTGGCGGGAGGAAGTACTGTACCTACCTTGTCATCTCTCGCCTCCCAAACTGGTGAGAGAGACAGGAAAGAAAGGGGGAGGGAGGGAAGGGAAGGAGGGGGTAATGGGGGGCAGGAACAGGAGAAGTCAATGGAGGGAGGGGGGGAAAAGAGGCATAAAGAGGAGAGGCATCATCATAGTCTATTTATATACATCATCATCGTCATCATCGTCATCATCATCATCATCATCATCAGGTATAATAATATAAATCAACATAGGAATATACTTTACAGCCTCATATAGGATTATTTGATAGTTACATGTGTTTTATTATCATTTTCACCTATAAATGTTCTTGGTAGCATTCTCCTCTCCCTCCTCCTCTCTTTCTTCTCACCATTATACCTCCTCCCCCTCACCTCCTCACTCCTCTACATCTCTTCACTGCCTCACGTGGCGCCAAGGAGGTGAGGGAGGTTAGAGGGAGGTGAGGGAGCCACGTGGTACAGAGGTGCAAACACACACACTCAGCCCCATGAGAACCTCTGGCAGGATGTGTGTGTGTGTGTGTGTGTGTGTGTGTGTGTGTGTGTGTGTGTGTGTGTGTGTGTGTGTGTGTGTGTGTGTGTGTGTGTGTGTGTGTGTGTGTGTGTGTGTGTGTGTGTGTGTGTGTGTGTGTGTGTGTGTGTGTGTGTGTGTGTGTGTGTGTGTGTGTGTGTGTGTGTGTGTGTGTGTGTGTGTGTGTGTGTGTGTGTGTGTGTGTGTGTGTGTGTGTGTGTGTGTGTGTGTGTCGCAACCCTTCATCACCACCACCAACCCCATCTCTATTTAACGAACTCTATGCAGATGAGAGTCCGTTATATGGAGGGGGTGTCCATTAGATATGAACCTCCCTCACATCTAACGGATTATATAGAGAGAAGGTCGGTATATGGAGGCTTCACTGTACACCCATAATATTAACAATAAACAAAACACCATCAACTAAGACACATTTTCTCACGATAAATTAGCAGCATCAGGCAGCCATCTTGCTTACCTAGTGTCACCAAATAAACCTTAATTACTTTTCCAGGTGAGATTAATTATTTTCTCACCTGTCAAATATTTATATATACTAAATTTAATCGAGTTCTTTCAAACTAAGACCATATATAGAGATAAAGCTGTAACCCTTCACCTCTCTTACCCACCCATCTACCCACCGTTCAGCCACCCACCAACCCACCACCCACCAACCCTCGTTGCAACACCTTCCCGGAAATGCTATTCAAACACACTTTATTTTGCCGAGACACGATATGACCGGAACGACACGAGGTCTTGGCAATAATTTCTCTCCGGTAAAATAAATTGAGAGAGAGAGAGAGAGAGAGAGAGTGCGTAGTTTAGTGTCGTCATCACCTATGCGCGCCAGAATAGCCATAAAATATTCACCAGACAAACACCGCCCCTCCCTCCCCAGGTCAGCTGTTTGTGTGGCGGGAAAAATAAAAGTTTATTTACATCCGATCAGCTGATGTGCGCGCGCAAAAATATTATATGTCATCCCAAACTGTTACGTTTCCTTTATATAACGACACTGAACACGACTTAACGTAACTCTAGTGTCGTTGAGTACATCTATACCTACTAGTACTCTACCTCACTCCCTTACACAAGTACACGGCATTTAAGCTGTTTTTCACTTTAAGACCTGTATTTGTGTTTGAGGGAAATCATTTAAAACTACGCCAGATATATTAGGAATATCTCTCTCTCTCTCTCTCTCTCTCTCTCTCTCTCTCTCTCTCTCTCTCTCACACAAAACAACACAAACTCAACAATTCCTCGTGGACCAGAATCAATATTTTGGGGGTCCCCTTTTTTCATGTCACCGTGAAGTAAACAAAGCCCTGACGTGACCTCACATCAGCTGACAGGCCCACCCAAAACCTGCCTCCTGACGCTGACCTGGACAAAATCACGGGAGAATTTCGTCCTGGACAAAACTCAACTCGATAAAATCTCAGTAGTGAACCAACCAGCCTACCTCACTGTCTCTGGTTCACTAAAACCCTGGGGTGATGACCTACTTGGAGAGGTAAACAGGTGAGCAGAGTGTTGACATACCTGCTGATTAATATAACCTCCTACCTGTTGCCCTCCCTGTTCTTTATGGAGGGAGGGGGGGGGAGACTAGTGTGACTTGGTAGGGAGTATAAATGGAGTGGTGTATGTCTGCAAGCACGTAAGCACAGGTGTGGCGACGTATAACACACTCTCTCCTCTCTCTCTCTCTCTCTCCCAACATCGTCCCCATTCCATTCAGAGACAAAATTCTCATCACATACTCAACATAACTTCTATCTCTCTCACACACACACACACACACACACACACAAAACACACACACACACAATCAACGCCTCCCTCCTCCTTCCCTCCCTTCGATCAGCTGATATTAGTAAACAAAGAAACCACGCCCACCAACCAATCATAACTCAGCATCCATGACAAAACAAAATTCCCTTGGCAAATCACTATGGAAAAATTACCGCCACATTCCGATCCCAAGGGGTGATTAGGGGAGCAAAGGGGGGGGGGAGACAAAGTTAATGGATTCTGGTAGAGGGGGAAGGTGGGACGGAGTTGGCAAGTATAGTAGTGGTGTGAAGACGTGACTTTTTTATTCTTTCTTGGAATATTCGCTCTATATCATCCTCATAATGTGACACTGTCTTGCCCCCGTGACTCTCTGCTGCAATATATATAATTAAAACTTTGTGTTTATACCAATTATTCCCCTCCGTGTCTTCATACATACATACAAATATATCTACATACATATATACAAATATACATACATACATACAAATATATATACATACATACATACACATATCAATAACCCAGATACTTACACACGACAACAGGTGTGGAGAGATACACCTGTATATTGCTATTACATCACAATATACACCCCACCCCTGTATGTATGTCTGACGGATGTGTTTGTTGATAACTGATACGTGTGTTTGTTCCTCATTCCTTAAACAAAGACAATCATTTAGACATTATTTCATTTCTTAGGCGAATAAACAGACAGACACAAGTCATGAGTTCGCACAGGTGTTAATACGTACAGGTGTAGAGGCTGTAAAGAAGATGTAATTAGATACGTGGCAACAGGTGTACACACACAGCACAAGAGGAGAGAGAGAGAGAGAGAGATGATTTGAATTGAATTTGACCTTCCTGACCTTCTCTCAAGAGGTCAAACTGATGTTCTTAATGACCTCTAGCTCATCTTGTTCGTGTGGGCAGACACGGTGGGGCCAGATATGGGGTGTGGGGGTGAGGGGGGAGCGGCACGGGAAGGCGTGTACCACATACATACATTCATACACAGAACACACACACACACACACACACACACACACCATCTCTCACTCTCATGCCTCATTAACCTGCGTTAGACAGCCTATGTCCGCAGCACCTGACTGACTGATTGAAGACTGGCTGACTGAGAGTGGGAAATGAGGAGGGAGTGAAGGAGGGAAGGGGAGCAAGCTGATGGGGAGAAGAAGAATGGGCTTGTGCCAGAGGGGAGAAGGAGGCGAGAGAGGGAGAGGAGAGAGAGAAGACGGAGAGGATGATGCAAGATGAGAGGGGTAGAGAGAGGGACGGGGAGGAGAGGGAAACAAGCGAGAAGAAGGGAATACCAAAGAAGGTTGACGACAAACGACAGAAAAGTACAAAAGACAGACAGACAGAAAAGACAGACAGACAGACAGACAGACAGAGCAGGCAGACAGGCAGACAGACACTATATTACTGTTCCGCACATTTTTAGCGGACATAGTTGACATAACCCCGGGGAGGCAGTTTACTGAGCTGGGGCAACTTGGGGAACGACCTGAGGAGGAGGAGGAAGGAGGAGGAGGAGGAGGGAGAAGGAGGAAGAGGAGGAGGGAGGAGGAGGAGGAGGAGGGGGAGAAGGAGAAGAGGAGAAGGAGGAAGAGGAGGAGAGGAGGAGGGGGAAGAGAGGGAGGAGGAGGGGAGGAGGGAGGAGAGGGAAGAGAGGAAGAAGGAGGAAGAGGAGGAGGTGGGGAGGGGGAGGAGAGGATGAGGAGAAGGAGGGGGGAAGAGGAGGAGGGAGAGAGAAAATTTAGGAATGGGTGGGTGGAAGAGGGAGGAGGGAAGAGGAAGAAGGGAGGAAGAGAGGGGGATAGGGGAGGAGGTTTATTGAAAAGAGAGGGGTGAGTGAACTGTTGTCCTGTGTCGCCTCCTTATACCCCTTCCCTCCCTCCCAAGCACCACTACGGCGCCAGTACCCCACCACCCCTACCACCACTTGGTACCCTCTAAGGTCAAGGGTCATCTTCAAGTGACCTTCCTCCCGCTCACCTGGCAAGTTCGATGTCACGGGTTCGATTCCGGCAGTGGAGTTGTTTGACCATCTTCCTAGCCCCATTAGTCCCTGTTCACCCATTGTAAGTAGGTACCTGTTGTAAGTCGAAAATTGCGAATCTGCATTCAGGGAGTTGTTGGAGTCAACTTGATGACATAAACCACTGACCTCAGGCTTTGTGACTCTTCAGGCTTCATGCCCTAACTCATGAGACATAAAGGCAAGCATGAACTTGCATGCTTCTGTTGGACGCTGTAAACGCTTTGCGCCCATACAAGGGATGTAGGGAGTGCCCAATAAAAAAAAAAGTTCAAAGAAAAACTCAACGTAGATTTTACCATTCACGTGTGAGGATGTTCTCTCTTCTTCCTGTTCTCCTCTCTTTCCCTTTTCTTGAAAGGAAAGTGTGTGTGTGTGTGTGTGGTGTGTGTCTTATTGGAGTAGTACTAGAGCTAGTACACACACAACACCATACACGACATTCAACTTTACCCACTTCTTCTCCCTCCACTCTCTCTGCCCCACTTACGCCACCCTCCACGTTCAAGTGAGTTAAAGACGTAGTACTCGAGCCGTCTGAGCCAGCTGGTCCCAACCTTCTCTTCCCTCACATCTGCCCCACCTCACACCCCACACACACCACCCACATCAACCACAATCCCAACCACCAGAATCAACAACCACAATCACCACCATCCACCACCCTTGTTTGTACCTGGCAGAAGTTGGAAAGAGAAGCCTTATGTTTACTAAGCCTTACGACTCCTACAGGGGAGAGGAGGAGGAGGGGGGAAGAGGAGGAGGAGGAGGAGGAAGAGGGGGAGGAGGAGGGGAGGAGGAGGAGGGGAGAGGGGAGGAGGAGGAGGGGAGGGAGGGGAGGGGAGAGGGGAGGAGGAGGAGAGGGGAAGGAGGAGGAGAGGGGGAGGGAGGAGGAGAGGGGAAGGAGGGAGGGAGAGGGGGAGGAGGAGAGGGGAGGAGAGGGGAGGAGAGAGAGGGGAGGGGAGGGAGGGAGGAGAGGGGGGAGGAGGAGGGGGAAGAGGAGGAGGAAGAGGGGGGAGGAGGAGGGGAGGAGGGGAGGAGGAGGAGGGGAGGAGGAGGGGGAAAGAGGGGGAGGAGGGAGGAGGAGGAGGAGGAGGGGAGGAGGAGGGAGGGGGAGAGAGGGAGGAGGAGGAAGAGGAGGAGAGGAGAGGGGAGGAGGAGGAGAGGGGGGAGAGAGGAGAGGGAAGGGAGGAGAGAGGGGAGGAGGAGGAGGAGGAGGAGGAAGAAGAAATGGGAGAGGAGGAAGAACATGGCAGTATATAGCTAAAAAAAGACCACGTGGTGAATGTCAACACAACAAAGACCACGTGGTGAATGTCAACACAACAAAGGCCACGTGGTGAATGTCAACACAACAAAGACCACGTGGTGAATGACAACACAACAAAGACCACGTGGTGAATGACAACACAACAAAAGACCACGGGTAATGACAACACAACAAAGACCACGTGGTGAACAACACACAAAGACCACGTGGTGAATGTCAAACAAAACACGTGGTGAATGTCAACAAAGACCACGTGGTGAATGTCAACAAAAGACAACGTGGACGAGGTAAACAAACATCAGCTGGTAGGGTATCGGGGGGGGAAGTATTGCACTACGAGGGCGGGCTGGACACGACGCAGGTGCAGGAGCCACGTGTAGTTATCCCACAGCGCCACGCCCCCTCCACATACTGGCTGATCTCTGGCACCGACAGGACACTGGAGGGCAATAAAGGAACAGGTTATTATTACCATTATTATGTTAAATGATTTGCGCGGTTCAGTTCTGGTGTCCTTATTATAGAATGGACATAGATTCTTTGGAGAGAGTAAAAGAAGAATGACAAAATGATCCATAATATTGAAACCTTCCATATGAAGAAAGACTGAAAAGCTTAGGCTTACTCATTAGAGAGGCAGAGTTAGGGAGATATGGAGGTAGGTACAAGGGTAAGTGATTAACAAGGGTAAAATGGAAGATGTTCTGAGGTTCAGTAATAACGAAATAACTAGAACAAATGGTTTTAAATTAGATAAATTCCGATTCAGAAAGGATAGGTAGAAGCATTGGTTTGGTAATAGAGTTGGGATATGTGAAGAAGGCTACCGAGTGCTATAGAGATCGGGGACGCTAGAGCTCAAGACGAGTTGGATAGCAAGGAAGTGCTGATTGGAAAGGGATCTGCCATGGGCCAGTCGGCCTCCATCCCACTTTTCGTTCTTATGTTCCCTGTCTCTCTTTCTCTCCTCATTTCTCTTCGTTATCTCTCTTCCCTGTCTCTTCTTTCTCTCCTCATTTCCTCTGATATCTCTTGTCCTGTCTCTCTCTCTCATTTCTCCTTCGTTATCTCTCTCCTCCCCGTTCTCTTCCCTCACTGTTATCTCTCTCTCCATCATTATCTCTTTCCTGTCTCTATTTTCTCTCAGTTTTTATAATCTTCATTTCTCCCTCAATTTCCCTCATTTCTTCCTTATTCCTCTTTATTTTTCGATTCGTTTCTCTCCTATCTCCTTCATTTTATCTCACTTTTCACTTTCTTATTTACAGAGAGAGAGAGAGAGAGAGAGAGAGAGAGAGAGAGAGAGAGAGAGAGACCACACCACCGTTCTCTAGGAATGTTAATTATCACAGGCTGGGGAGGTAAGGGAGGGGTTTGTGGAGGAGTAAGGACGTTGAGTGTGGGGAGAGAGGTTAGAGGAGGTAGGGACTGGACATCTTGTGTGAGGAGAAGAGGAAATTCTAGGGAGGTGGGGAGTTTCTGGGGAGGAAAGGGGGTTCTGGGGAGATTAAAAAAACGCTACGTGTGGGGAGATGAGGATGCTGTGAGTGGACATCAACTGAGGGGAGATGGAGATGGTCTGGGAGGAGAGAGGAGTAGAGTGTGTGTGTGTGTGTGTGTGTGTGAACGAGTAAACATTCTACAAGGGAGAGATGCGTGAGTCTTTGCAGTGAACATCAGTGTAGGGCGGCAGCGGTCGGATGGCCCTTAACTCAATCCATAAGGATTGGGCCCGGTTCTAATAGGCCCCAAACATAACTTAACTATAAGGATTGTGCCCGTCCTATAGGCCCCAAACATAACCTAACCATGAGGATTGGGGCAGTCCCATAGGCCCCAACATAACCTAACCATGAGGATTGGGGCCCGGTTCTAATAGGCCCCAAAATAACCTAATCCATAAGGATTGGGGCCTGTTCTAATAGGCCCCAACATAACCCAATTGATATGATTGGGGCCTGGTTCTAAGGCCTAACATAACCTAACCATAAGGATTGGGGCCCGGTTCTATAGGCTCCCAACATAACCACCATATATGATTGGGGCCTGTTCCATAGGCCCAAACATAACCTAACCATAAGGATTGCCTGGCTCTATAGGCCCAACATAACTCCAACCTATAAGGATTGGGGCCCGGTTCTAATAGGCCCCAAACAACCTAACCATAAGGATTGGCCCGGTTCTAATAGGCCCCAACATAACCAAACCATAAGGATTGGGCCGGTTCTAATAGGCCCCAACATAACCTAACCATAAGGATTGGGGCCTGGTTCTAATAGGCCCCAACATAACCCAACCATTGGGATTGGGGCCTGGTTCTAACAGGCTCAACAAACCACAAGGATTAGCCCGGTTCTAATAGGCCCCAACATAACCTAACCATAAGGATTGGGGTCTTCATTAGGTTCCAAACATAACCTAACCATAAGGATTGGGGCCTGGTTCTAATAGGCCCCAACATCCTAACCATGATTGGGCCCGGTTCTAATAGGGCCTAACATAACCCAACCATAAGGATTGGGGCCCGGTTCTAATAGGGCCCCAACATAACCCAATTCATCGTCTCCAATTTAATTCCAACTTAACCTAACCTAACCACGAGAATTGGGTTCCTAATCAATACTTTAAAACCTATATTAGATTAAGTTAGGTTAGGATAAGTTAATAATGGTGAAGGGGTTGGCTAGGGTTAGGGGATGAGTAGGTTAGGTTAGGATGGAGAAGGTTAGGTTAGGTTAATAGGTTAGAAGGAGAAGAAGAAGGTTAGGTTAACTTGTTAGATGGGTTAGGAGGCTAGGATGGGTTAGGTTAGGATGGGTTAGGTTAGGATGGGTTGGGATCTGTTTGGTTGGGGTCTATTAGGACTGGGGCCCAACTGAGAGTCAAGGTCAGTCACTCCACACCCAGTCAGCCTCCCAAGCATCCAAGCGTCAACACCACCACACGAACCATTGTCACGTGAGGCTTGTACACACACACACACACACACACACACACACACACACACACACACACACACACACACACACACACACACACACACACACACACCTCTCTCATTCTTGCTTACATGTAATACAGTGAACCCGTACAAGGAGTTAAGATCAGGTTAGGTTAAGGAGGTGATAATGGCATTTAATTTTGAAGGACAAGATGTTAATGTAAAGTGTTTTGGTGTATGTGTGTGTGTGTGTGTGTGTGTGTGTGTGTGTGTGTGTGTGTGTGTGTGTGTGTGTTTAACGAGTCAATAACACTTCATTCTTCTCCTCCTCCTTCCTCCCTCTCTCTCCCTTCTCCCCCTTCCCCTCTCACATACCTCCCCCTCCTGGTGAGTAACCCCTCTTGTCGCCCACACCCCCCACTTCCCAGAATGAGTCACAGTACAAGTCAGGCAACTTTTCCCTCAGTCAGCCATCATATATAAATACCACGAGACACCTACCTCCAGCCCCCCAACCCCCATCTCTCTTTCTCTCCTCACCTGCACCTTCTCTATCTGCCTGTCTATATCTACCTGTCTCTCTGTCTGCCGCCTGTTGCCTTTACGCAGCCACGCGTCTCTCTCTCACCCCCTGTCTCTTCTCTACCACCTGGCGCTGGCCTGGCTGTCTGCTATCACTGGCGGCCTGTCTCTGTAGCTGCCTGGCTCTGGCCTGGCCTGTCTCTGGCCCAGGCTGGCTGGGGCCTGTCTGTCCTGGCCTGTCTCTGGCGGGCTGGCGCTGTGCCCGGCCTGGCGCTTCATGGCCTTGCATGGCCTTGCCTGGCTCTGGCCCAGGCTGGCACTGGCTGGCCTGGCAATGTGGCCTGGCTGAAGCCAACTCTGGACTGGCAGGCTAGCACTGGCAGCTGGCATGACTCCAGCACTAGCTGGCCTGGCACTAGGCTGACACCTGGCGCTGGCCTGACCAAGCACTGGTGGTGGGGTGTGGGGTGGGTGGGGCTGGCACAGCCTGGCCTGGCACTGGCCTGACCTGGCGCTGGCACAGGCTGTCGCCTAGCCCGGCCTGGCACTGCCAGCCTGGCACTGGCCTGACCTGCACTGGCCTGGCCTGAGCACTGACCCAAGAGCTAACACTGACGCAACTAACACTAACAAACACAGACAAACAAACAAACACAAAACAAACAATTGATGACATGAAGATCATTTGTTTTCGGCCTCTGACCTTCGCGCTTTTGTTGGGTCACCGAATATTGTACTCGAGGAAGCTGTGCCCTTTATGGTATAGAGAGTATAAACACCTGTGCCCTTTAAAACAGGTGTAAACGTTAAGGTACAGGAAGTTTAGACAGGTATGAACATTAGACGATATTACATAGCAATTTAAGACAGCTGTACCCTTTAAAATACAGAGCAATTAACACAGCTATACCTTTTAAACCACCCCATACATAGCAATCTAACAGTGCAATATCCTTTTAACCAACAGTACATAGCAATCTAACAGTGCAATATCCTTTTAACCAACAGTACATAGCAATCTAACATAGCTATACCTTTAAACAAACAGGACATAATACCACCCCAACACCACCCACCCACACCACACCATTCCGGAAACATGACTGGGGGATTTCCTGTGTTACCTCCTCTTATATCGATTCCAGTGTCGCTATTGGACGTTAAACAGCATAAAGAGGCCATAAGGGCGCATAGAGTTGGGTCCTTACTGTGTGTGTGTGATAGCCTAGAGTGTGATAGTGACAGCCTAGAGTGTGACAGTGACAGCCTAGAGTGTGACAGTGACAGCCTAGAGTGTGATAGTGACAGCCTCCAGTGTGTGACAGTCTCCAGCGTGACAAAGAGAGCCAACGTGACTCATAACACCGACTTGAATGTTAAATCTCTCTCTCTCTCTCTCTCTCTCTCTCTCTCTCTCAGCCGTACCAGACACATCCACAAGAATGAAAACAAGAAGCCATATCAGTCATTCAGAGACATACAGTCATGAATCACACACACACACACACACACACACACACACACACACACACACACACACACACACACACACACACACACACACCACAGTGCTGCCCCCACACCTAATATTGACCACTTCAAGGGCACATGCCACACCGCCACTCACACTGGCTTCTCGGGTGTCTGGTTTGCGCTTACCGATCAGCTCCAGACTTGATTTATCTTACTCCGGGTTGGGTTAGTTTGGTGTGGCTCATTGTTCGCTGCCTGGCTTGGATTAGCTGACACTGGCTTGTAGAGATGGTTTAGGGGGTGGTTAACCTAAATCTCCGTTTGAGAGAGAGAGAGAGAGAGAGAGAGAGAGAGAGAGAGAGAGAGAGAGAGAGAGAGGGGGGGGGAGGTAAACAAGAACACTTGCATCCTGATCCTTCCACACACTCACCTGGCCAGGCATCACCTGGATACCCCTCCCTCCCTCCCTCAATCTCTCCTGGGAAGGGGGAGAGAGAGGATGA